CGAAATGTATCGATATGAAACATTTTCTATTTTATGGCGTGGTTAATGGTTATAAACTTATGAAATCTGTGGCCTGTGTACATATAGGATAAAATTCATATTATATGGGCAGGTAGGAAAAATGTTTTAGGGTTGGTTAGTGTGCTCACGTGTGCCAATAGAAGACTTTTGCTTCATTAAAAGAAGAAATGCAGTCTCCAATAATTAAAAATAACTTAATTTACACCATTTTTAATTAGTAGATATTTCAACATGATTCCTAAAATATTTCATGAACATGTGATATAATTTTTATGTTACACTTAATTATTTTGTACAAAAAAGAATATTATTTTGACTTATTATGCGTATTATTACTTATGACTTACCTATTGACTACTTAATTAATTACTGTAATGCTAATGAACTAATATTATGACCGTGATCGCGAAAGTTCAATCAACCGTTCAGCACTGGTTATACAATTATACATCTGCATTCTGCAACAATATGATTAATTATTAAATATTTTATTTATTTGTGAAATCACGTACACGAAGTACAGGTGGTACAGCGTAACAATTCGTAACATATTGCAAAACAATCTTTGTCTATATGTGATTATAAATGAAGTAGATATATATTATAATATAACCTACATTTCAATAATATTACCTCAATAAGTCAACAAATTGTCTGTTGTCACATTCAATCTGTCTAGGTTAAGTGGAAAATAAATTACTATATTTTCAGCTTGCGTGCAAGTATTTTGTCTACAAAGAGTTCGTGATGGGACCACTATGACCCCGTGCAACATGAAATTGGGTCACATCAGAGGAAGTATGAATACTTAACCGTGGGATGTGAACAATGCGTTTGTAGGTATATGTAGTAGATATGAAAAATAATTATTTTAGTTCGTTGAAAATCATCATATAATTATGTTTACTGCAGTGCATAAATGCATTCCATATTTTAGGATAACTAGGTATACGTTTATATAATTATAATTTATATTAATATATAATCATTTCTTAGAAATACTTAAGGTACCTATACTTGATTATGCTTTGAAACTAGACCAATATTTAAAAATATCATCATCCGTTTCAAACAAACAAACAAAAAGTTAATAAAAATAACTTTTTGTGGGTAAACAGACAATAATTAAATAAAATATTAACATACAATAATAATTATATCGTGCGTATTTCATACATTCATGGTAGGTACCAATACCAATGGTCAATGGTCGTTAGTCATAGAAACATATTATATACATTAATACATTTGTTTTAGTACAAAATTTGTATTTTATATTTATTGAAATATTTAGACAGAAATAAAAATATATATAACTGATTAGGATTCCAATATGGTTGAACGATCGCAATGACTGGTCACAGATTGTCACGAACGCATGTATACACGTTGATACGATGATAGCTGATATAAAAAGTAGTGCCTAGGTATGAGATTGCAGTATATATATATTTGACCTATCACCCGTTTCAACTAACGTTATAGGCACTAACATTTTTTTCCTCTCACGAATATTAGAATTCAATCGTGCGTCTACAAAAAAAAAACCTATATACGTAAATTACAATTTTGATAATAAATAACAATAACCAGATGTAAAAAAAAACGATTTAAACTGTCACTGCTACGAATTCGATTGTTTCTTTTTTACATACATTTCATACATTTTCATATTTTACCAAAAATATGACATTTGCGTTATGAAAAACACATTTTCAATCCAACGTAATTTAAAATTTACGCATATTAAAATCTCTTAAATACAGTAAACGTGTCCCGGTACTTACAAAAACGAAGTTTAAAAAAAGTCATACCATTTTGAGATTATAGAACAATTATTAAATCTGACCATAACAACATAAAAATAATAACAAATAATTTTTAAAATATTAAACTCTCTATTCTCAAAAAATGTTGTGACATCGACATTTTAATCCAGTTATTAACAGAAAAAAAATATTAAAAGTGCTTTACGAATTCAATTATAATTCAAACCAGCTAGAGGACAATAATATTAATTCTATATGAAATATGAACGTTTTATTATTTTGAATATCATACATAGTTTGACTATATAGCCTTGCCCAAAGACACCTTCTAAAAATATAAGAATTTACAGATATAACTGTTGTTTGATATTATAAAAGGTTTAAATTAATTTGATTTGTATATGTATAATATTAATATTTAATAGTAAAATAACATTCGAATACTTTCTAATTCTTTTTATTTTACATATTATACCCAAATTATGACTATGTGTATTTAAAATATACCTAATTATAATTATTGATAATTGAATAATGATAGTGGTCTCAATAGACTATACATTCTATAACTAAAAACTTGGTGAAATATTAAATTTTTTTAAAAGAAATAAAATTTAAAAACCCTATATTTTTAATTTTCATGCACACTGGACAAGGGAGGGACCATTTAAAAAGGGTGAAGCTGATTATTAAGATTAATGTGGGACTTCAGGACGTGTAGTCACTCTAACAGTCTAGTCGCACAATTCACTATAATAAGGACTTATACACTAGACATTTGAGGTTCGTTCAATTAAAAATAATGTCTCTATTTTGAAATGCAGATAAAAGTAGGTATCTTAGCTATATCCAACAAATATTTTTTTTCTCAATAGATCTCATAAATTCTAATGTGGCTGTATCTATTTGTATAAAAATATTTATTAAAACTATTGTGGCTTAATTCTGATATAAAACTTTTTTTTTAAATAAGCGGTTTAGTATATTGCATATACGTAATATAATAGCCACGTATAAAACTGACATGATACAATGACACATGAATGGTTAGCTGTAATATTGTTGGGATGAAAATTTATTTTTTCCCTTACGATTTATTCTTTTAGATGTTTTTAAGTCGAACATATATTTGGATATAAAAAAACAATACCAATCATTGCGTCCTGACTTTTTTTAATCATTGTACATTAAACTTGATAGTTTGAAAAAAAATGCCCACACCTGGTCTCATAAAAGACATCATCCTCCTGGACAATTAAATCTGTTTGTTGTACTTTGTACGAACAATGACCTTTTCTCCATTCAATTTTTTATTTTCTATTATTAATCCTACTGGCTATAGGAGAACAAACAAATTATTAAATAATGTTTGTTATATTCCCGGAACCTATATCTAGCATGTAATAATTAATTTACTTTGATTTCCCTGTGAACTTGACTACCAAAATTTGTTTTTTTTCACTTCCTTAATTTTTTCCACTCTAAATTTTTAACATGTACCTATATATACATTCAATGATGCCGAATTCTCGTATCAGGTACATGCGGTCGCGGTCCAACGGGTTCGAACGTGCGTGCAGGATTCTTACAAATGTTCCCTCCGATGAAATTATTTTTCGATAGTGGTTCTAAAACGTTGTTAGGTATAATATATATTATTATACATAATGTCTGTATATATAAATTATGTGTATTTTTACTGTTTACACATACCCGACCAACACCCGGCTGAAGGTGTTTGATCACTCTTGGAGATCATATAAGTTGCAGACAACGTCCGCCACAGGTTGATTGTATTGATGATTGCCGCGGCCTTGCGGTGAATACGATACGCTGTTATTTGCATCCGGTAAAATTATCTTCCATCTGAACGAGAAAAGAGTGCAATCTCACCAAAGCGCTGAGCCTAACAATGGCCGCCGATGGGAGTTTATTAGGTATATTACAAAATAATAAATAATATACGACTGTAAACCAAAATAATTGTTTCAAACATGATTTTTCTTAACAGCTAAAATAATATTATATTATAATATTATACATATTGTAAGCATCATTAATTTGTTAAATTGTTTAGTTTTTTTTAATTTTAGTAAAATACAATAGTGTCTATAGTGGTAAAACCAAATGATTTTATAAACGCCATCATTCAGGTAGGCATCGTACATCCCATATTCCCATTATATTTCGATACAATATGTCAAATCTGACATAAAATAAATATGATTATTGTACATATTGTATATTATATATGAATGTGAATGAAAAAATTGTTATATCGTATTAATAAAGACGTCTTATTGTATTATCCATTGTCAGTTAATGGTATTATCATTTCTTACCTAGCTATAATTACACAAAGTATAAATGTCTATAAGATTGTTACTTTTATTCTCACAGCCGTATTGAATTTTTACAGCACAGCAACACATCTTGTGTAACATGCATAATGCACATAGAAGTATATTCTAAATTTTATTAATTCGATTTTGAGCAGAACGAGAAAAATATTAGCTTTTATTAGTGTATAATAATTTATATGAGTTTTTAGTTTTCTATAGGTACTAGTGTACTACATAATATATAATATATATCTAGTAGTTTATATTTAGTTTAATGTAATTTCTTACACATATAGGTAGTTAAATACACGGGTAGTACAGCTTAGGTTACCTGTAAAAATCTAAAATGATAAATTATCCGGAAAAAAACCACTTACTGCCTTTAGATACACCTGGAGTTATTGACCAGCTATACAAAATAAAAATATCATTGATGAAAATGGCATTTATTCTCATTGACATATAAAAGTTGACACTGGACAAGCTGGAAATAATGAGCTTTATTACAACGTAACCGGAATTCCGGAGTGTAGAAGTAAATACAATTTGAAAAACAATGTTTCCTATATTATTAGCGTAATTTACACATCTCACATATCATAATCAATACTAAGGCACAATATACTTATCAATAATTATATACACAATACTAATAATATAATTTCCATACTAAATACACATTTAGATACTGTTAATTTTGTTTTACTACCAATCTCATTACTTAATCAGGTTAATCTATACTGTACGTATCATATAATGCACATTGATACATTAATTTTAATTTATCTTTTCAATTATTATTGGGAAACTATTATACATCTGTTTCAAAATTTAATAATATACTATATTATAATAAGCGAGAAAATCATTTTTCAACTACCTATTTCATAAATATATTATTAAAATTAAATTCATTAGGTAATTAAAACAAAAAGTAATATATGACGATTAAAGGTTACTTTAAGTTGAACGTTCGATTTTCGTAGTAACTATATGATTTGTGAATAAAAACCGCTTAACTTTTTTAAATATAAATACTGATAACACGAGTATTGAAAAGTATTGTATCCATGCCCACTTCATTACTTGCCAAAACTTTGGTTTGTACAAAATCTCCACAGAACCGTAGTTTATTTTCGTTTTAATTAAAAATGGCTGTCGATAAGGTCGACCTCTTGTCCACTTCACTAAAACGTTATCCAATTTAGTAGAAACTAAAAATACAATAAATATATATACAGATACATAAAACCCATTGATATAATTATAAAATTTAAATAACTTACGAGTTCGTTTTGAGTATTCCTCGTATATGTTGACCAGCCAGTCAGGAGATTCAAATAACAATATAGGCCTATTCATACGAATAGGTTTCCTCGGTGTACATACTAAGGGTGTTTTTTGTACCAAATTTAAATCACCAAATACGTCCAGTCTGCCACCTGGCAATCCAGAACCGTGAGTTATAACTGCCATGGATTCCATTTCAAGCAAACACAAATCCTATTGAAAACAGATAAAGTTCGCCATTACACACCAGAAGTATGAGTTTAAAAACAACGTATCAATACTAAATTTATATTTACTTGTATTTTGAAATCAAATATCAGCAATAAAGTTATAGAATGTACATCTAACGTTTCATTCATAGTCAAGTATAACTCCAAATCCAGAAATTCTTTTTTCCCATCAATGTTAATGTCTTCTTCTACAACCTAATGAAATATTGTTTGAGATTTAGTTATGTATATTGATAATTAAAACTATATACATTATTACAGTAGGTATACCTTGATGGTTGAACAAAAACCCGCAGTTTTCAACGTCCGAGGAAAATTTCCGCAGATCAAGGGAGACGTGGGATCAGATGTTTCAGCATATAACAAATACTGCAACTTAAATTGTACCATAGGCTGTTCTCTGTATTTCTCGTACTTAATCCATAGTCCTGTAAATAGTAGTTCAAAATAATATCCTGTTTTAATGGTTGAAGTAAAAAATATTATTCAATTTACCACTACTTCGATAGCAAAATAGCAACGGCAAGGTAAAAGTTAATAACGTTATAACGACGTATAAAATAAATGCCTTAGAACAAACAGAAGCTTTGTACTTGACTCCAAATGATTTACTATAAACTACGCGCACCGACATGATTCAGTGCTTGTGCTGGCTTTTTGTATAATAGTTTAAGCTGAAAACCTCAGGTTTGTTTTGTTGATAGTTCCCATAGTAACAGTCTCACCCTTGGCAGAATTGGGTGTATACTGTATGTTCCGCCATGCACAGGGAGATGATCTACTGCAGCGGAAATCCATTTCGTTTTTTATTGCTTACATTTTAATTAGGTAAGTAAATACAAAATGTAACTATCATATACAATATGTACCAGGTAGTCCTTTTAAGTGTCACGTTCATTTTCTCAGACAATTTTTGCATTTTTCAATATTTAGTTTTTGATAATTTGTTAATAATAACGGTATAACTTATAAGTGGTAATAATTGGGAGTTGTGGAAATTGAAATTTAACTGTTGAAAATCCATTATTTATAACAAGCTTAAAAATAAGAAATTTAAAATGCATATTTCTCAAATTTAGAAAAAAGTGCATGTTTCTTAATTTATTTGCAAAAAATATATGTTTTAATGTTTCTATTGTTATAAAAAAAATGAAAATATTTTAATTTTACAACTCACATGTTTCAGTATACAACTCCACAAATAATATTTAAAATATATTATTATTAATACTATTTAATATCTAAACCGATATTATTTTTTCAGTTCAATAGTTGATATTATCATCGTCAATTGGCAACTATAATAGTTATCCATACATCAGATTTTTCTTTTATGCATTTATTTAACATAGCAATTTCTAATATATATTATATAGCAGTATACTTACAATACAAAAATGCTTATAAATAATAAGTATAATGAATTTGGTTTGAATGTACCTCAGTTCAAGTGGATGTCAGTGTATATCACTTTGTGAATTAAATATCTAACTGAAATGACATTCCCAGATTAAGAACGACTCTAGTGATATAAATTCCAATTAAATCGTTCCAGTAGCTTAGAAGATTAGATGTTATCAACAAAACTTAAAATAACATTTACATAGTTAAATTAAGAGGATGGACTAAATACGTTACCTAACCTTCAGGCTTTAGTGCACCATTTATTTTCACTCTCTTTCTGGACCATGTGCAACATAGACAATCTGAATTTTGCAGATCGAGCTTGGAGTTGTTCTATTCTGTGTTGATAGCTTCAATATTAGAGTGAATTTACCTATTATTAAACTTAATGCTAGGACATATTTTAGGATTGTATTGGTATTTTAATTTTAAACAAATTATAACTTTATGATTATGAGTATGTTAAAATTGAAATATTTTACGTAAATAATATTTATAACACAGTTTTAAATTAGAATATCAATGATAAATAGAAAATTATCAATGAAATATCAATAGCTTATGAGATGATCAAGATAATATTCTTACCTTACAATTTTATCATAAGTCAATCACTCTAATATTAAATCTAACAACACAAATTTTAATCTACTAAACACGATTTTGTTATTTGTGGGTCAGTGAGAAGAAACAAGTAGTGCGATAACATCCTTTAACTATAATAAATCTATGTCATATATCAGCTATTAGTATACATAATATATTGCCAATTGCTTGTGAATACTGACCTACCGTAAAATGATGTGGAAAAGTTTGTATTATAAATATACGGAGTGATCCATTTAGCCCAATAGGTACTCATCATTTCAGAAAAAAACTAAAATTGTTTAAAACATTTTTTTTTACTTCATTATTTCAGTCATTAGGTTCAAAGCAACATTTTAAGAAAAAAAAATGTTTTCGGGCAAGTAGCTTATAAGTTATAACTTAGAAGTAATTAAAGCTTAGAGTTTAGATGGTTATTGGGCGGAGTAGTGGACCAATATTTTGGGTGGTGTATTACTATATAGATATATTTATTATAGTTTTCATAATTGATTACCTACCTTCACCCTATATGGTTAGGTATATTTATTAACTCATGTATTCACTTATGCGTCTACATAATATATTATATAATAGGTAGGTACATTATATACCTATAGGTACCAAATATGTTTTACAAAATGCACTGAGTAAAAAAACGATTCACTTAATAATACCTATTTGATTTACCGTTTAAAAATGTGAAAAAAAATACGTTAAAACTAACAATACTCTGCAATTGTACATTTATTTTATTCCGCAATGCGTTTAACCGCAAGGAATACCAATACTTAATTTTTTTGCATCGTTCTCGGTAATAATATATTATTACGCGTATGTGATTTTATTATTCACATGATTCACATATTATAATATGATCCATAAGAACTTGTGCTGGTTAGATTGTTGGTAAATGGTAGGTATATAGATACACCTCGTTATGTGGTTTTTACACACGAAACGTGTCACATTCGGCCTCCCTGAAGCCTCCGCATGTTGGTTATAAGTAACTACAATACTGGTATACTATAATATATATCAGATACCTACTATATTTTTCACAATTTAGATCGCGATCTATGGTATTGTATTGTTATAAATTATAATTATTACAATGGACGTCGGCTTATATGCAATATATATATATATAAACATATAAGTATAAGTAGCACACCAGCAAAACATACACGTAGGTTAGGTACCTATTATAAGTAACTAGTAAGTACTATAAGGAAATTATTATACCATGTTTTGTGTAGGGTGTAACCGTGCGTATTACCGATAAAACCATGGTACGAGTATATTATGACAATCAACAAATATATCTTAAAATGATTTTCATAAAAAAGTAGGTATAGTTTTACCTCTTATTTTTGGTACCTAGATTTAAAGTTTTAGTGCAAGGTTAATGATTTAGTGTTTGTTAACTATAATCAATACATTTTTTTAAATATTAATTTTTTTTATAATAAATCACTTGATAGTTTTTTTAATACAATAACTACCTATTTTTTGAATACTCTCAATTCACTTAACGATACAGAACAATACAGTTTGTGTCGGCCTTTAAGTGTAGACTTCTTTTATGTTTTTAAAGTGACACATAAATTAAACATTGATGAAATTCAACATTGCTCTTGCAAATAGTTACGATTTTAAAAACATTCGATGTATGTGAACTTGAACTATAAATATCTTTAATTGGATTTGATGACAATGGGTAGCAAAATAATCATTGTTGCTTGCAATCGGTTTCTTTTTTGAAACAATATAAAACTTTTATTTTATTTTCAATGTCAATGAGTGATCAAAAATGATTTCCTTAAAGTTATTTATAAGTAAATTATTTTTTTAGTGCTTAGTATTACTATCTTGAAAAATTAAAAATTATTATTAAATTATATATTTATACCAGAGTGCAGTGGCATGTTCAGGAATTTCAAATGGTGGTGGAGGGAGTTGGAGTACAATACAGTTTTCTAAGTAGGAAAATGGGCGGGTGTTGCATCCCTTCGGGGTTTTCTGGAGATTTATAACAATTAAACTAAAATATTTTAATTACATAGGTACAACAGTCTACAACTATCAAGATAAAATATGCATGGTGATTATTTTATAGATAAATAAATATACCAATTGTATCAAAAAGTTTTTTCGTTTTTTAAAATATTTTCTGAAATTATTTGAATACATTAAGTATATGATGGCACGAAACATCATTTTTAAAAAAGAAAATGATGTATGATATTTTCACACTTATCATTTTAAGTTTTTTACTTTTTTTAAAGGCATAAATATTTAGTTAAATATTCCCAAGCAGATCAACACAATCAATGATGGTTACGGATTGGTGGTGGGGCAATGATGCACCCTATGGGCATGCTGCCCACGAAAGTGTACACATACTTCAAAAACATATTTGTCATGTAAATATTTTAATGTAACTTAGCTTTGTTAATTTTAATTTTAATTTTTAATACATTTATATTTTTAAAAAAGGTGTGTATTACTAATAGGTACTTGCAGGTGGTTGCCTAGGTTAAGTTACATACTTGTATATTATAAATAGGTAGGTACTATATCCTCATACCGATTGACGATTCTGATTTGTGGACTGTGGTAACTGATAATACTCATATACTAATTACTAATATCCTGTAGTTATTCTGTATCATTTAAGTCGCCTTCTGGTATGCCAGAAATTCACTGTTACAGTGATAACTATTACTATCAGTTATTACATCTATATTAAAGATAAATACGGTCAACTACTACGAGTAACTAATATGATATGAACAATGATTTTGTTTCTTTTACTATCAGGTAGGGTAGGTTACTTAAAATGTTTCTTTTTAAAGCTTTTACTTTACGTTTATCCAAGTTATTGATCAAACACTGTTCAGTCAATATTTTTGGTTATAACGAGTATGTATAATGTAGGTATAGGTAGTAAACAAATATTTCACATCGTGTTCTTGAGTTTTCGACGTTTCGTGTAAAATGGATTCCGATTCGTTGGATTGGATATGGGGGGATTTTAATAACTCGCCTAATCTCGCCGAGTTATTTGAAGAAGTCGAAGATGATAACTACACATTGTTCGATAGTAATGACGACGATAAATCAGACTCTAGCTCCGAATCGAGTTTCAATAATGACTGTTCGTTGTTAATCGGAGATCAGAAATCAGCACAAGAACTGAATGAAATTGTCAACGATATCAAAATTCAATATGACAAAACGTTGTCCGAATTAAATACGACGACTGATGGCGAACTCGAAGACGACAATCACATATCTATCGATAAACTTTACATCGATGCTTTGGAAGCAGTCAAAACTAACTTGTCGGATATCGAACTAGAATGGGCGGATACATTGTATCAATGTACTGTAAACGAGTAAGGGTCACGAATATTATAATTAGCCATTAGGTATAATAATATTTGATTATTTGATTATTATATGCGACAAAAATTTGATTGATTGAATTATTTATTATGGGTATAATAAATATGACATTTACAATATTTATAACATATTTATAAATTGTTATTAATTTTATGTTAATTAGTTCAGTGTTTTTCTCAGTAATATTCTTTTCTAACATTGTGGTAAGGTGGGAAACTTGGGTTTATCTTTTTTTTCTGCTTTGAATTTATTTGCGTACAATATTGTGTTTTATGGTTAGTTAATAGTTATACCCGTGTAGGCAAGCAGTTGCATTCGTTGAAAATATAGCAAGAACGGATATGCGACATCCAGTTACATAATTATTTTAACGTTTCATAGAAAAACCGTACCAGAATCTTACACAAAAACTACAAGTATTGAAAAGCTGATAATTTTGTACGCCAATAATTTTGTTGAACAATTTAAAATAAAATATCCGAACAGAAGACAGTTGGTTTTAGTACTTCTAAATGAATGCGGTGTACAGGTATGATAATAAGGATAATAAATACAAAACTTAAGTAAAGCAAATGATGG